CCCTTCATTCCCTCGGAAACGGTCCCTTTTCCTGCAGGGGGAAAGCGGTTGCCGTGCCAAGTTCTAGGTGGGGTAACTTATGACCGGGGATGGAGGCAAAGGAAATCTTTCACGGAAGGGAAGGGCACCGGGGCTCTGCATCTGCGGGAAAGGGGAGAAGCTGCCTTCCCTCTCGTCAGCCCGCGGTCAGCCCGCAAACCTCGGGTGAGCCCCCGGCGGCTGCCTGGCTGCGAGCCGGTCTGCGGAGAGAGGCTTCGCGCCCCGGCCCTCTGGGGCCGAGGAGGGAAAGGCAGATGCCCGAAGGTGGGCAGAGTTCGAGGAGTGGTGGGATCTCGGCCTCGACTCTGCCCTGTTCCCCCAGGCAGCGAGTGCAGGCGGCACTGAGCGCTCACATCCCCGGGGCACCGGCTTGGCCGCCTCCGGCTCCGGCCCCTACCCTTAATGAGATTCTTTGAAACCCAAAAAAGCGAGATTTAATGTTACATCCTTATCTTTGGAGGAGCGCGGTTTTCTTGCCGCGGCGACGTCACTTGTTAAACAATCCGCGGCTGAGCCCCTGAAAAGAGAGGCATTGCACCCTTCGTGCTGAATGCGCTTCTCAGTGCGCATAACGCCAAGGCCTTTTGATGTCTCACAATGCGTGTTACGCCCAAAGATTGTCTCTTTGGACAGATCTACAACGCTTGGCTTCATGTTTGGAAGTTAAATGGACAGCGAGGTTGTAGAAACTCCCACGCTTGAAGCTGGCGCAGACACTCGGTACTTTCGCCTGTTACTTTCCATGAGTGAAAGCGGCAGGGGTGGAGGGAAGGGGCTGCTGGTTTAATCCGTGCTCTGAGGCAAAGGGTGGGGGGGAAAAGCAATCCAGACTTTTCCTCTCTTTTCTTTTCTTTTCTTTTCTTTTCTTTTCTTTTCTTTTCTTTTCTTTTCTTCTCTTCAGTTTATTCTTTGGCAGCCTTAAAATAAGAGCTATGTGCAAAGCGTGCGCCCTGCCTAGGTAGCTTGTGTCTGGAAGTCGCTGGCAATGTTGCTGCTCCATGAAATCAAAATTTATGATTATTCAAATGTCGGGGACTGTGAAAAGAGAGGAAGAAAGAGAGAAAATTAATATTGCAGCTGTTCTTCTGATTAATGAGAGATAATTGCTCATGAAAAGTCACCCCTGTGGCATTTTGTTGTCTCCTGGATCTTTGTTCTTTTCCACTATTATTGAGGACTTTCTTGAAGACTAAGCGGTTCTTTTCAATTTTTGGTATTCAGAAAGTGTTGCTTGGTTACAGATAATGGAGAAATCTCGGGCTATATTGGGTAAGATGTGCCACAGACAGCAATATCACAATGCCACTTTCAGAAAAGGATGGATACAAGTTAACGATGCTCTTTCAATAAAACATTAATAGACTTGTTCACGCTTTTATAATGACCTCCTTAATGGGAGCTGGGGGCAAGTCCTGAAGATTGCGTTCACTTCAGAAAGGCCAGCGTCGGGATTGCCGATCACTTTGGAAACTAATAGGGAATCAATGTTAGAGTAGCGAATAAATGCGATTATAGCGCAGGAGCCCGCGGCTCCTCTCTTACCCACGCAAGAGTTTATTTTGAGCGGGACTTTCCCCTACGGGAACTGCCCCAGCCCGGGGCGCAGCCTGCCCAGCGCCACCGCATGTCACCCCGGTGTGGTGTTTGCGGCCACGGCTGCTCTGCAGGTGTTGTTTTGGGTTTGGGTGTTTATTTGGGGGTTTTTGGTTGGGTTTTTTCCTGGGTTTTTTTGTTTTGTTTTTCTGCTTGAAAAGTGTCCCCGGGCTGCGGCGCTTTCCGCTGAGGCAGCTCCTCCCGTGAACTCCGCGGAGATGCGCGCCTGAAAGCCAGCGCTTTCTCCGGGCGGGCATGGCTTTTTCTTCTGCCGGGAGCTGCCGGGTTGGGGGAGGGAAGGGAAAGAGTTGCTTTTGTCATTTAAGCCGTGAATCTCTTCTACATAAAGGTGTTAGAGACATCTGGAAGAAAAGAGGGACCAGCACCCAGTCCTGCGCTCGGCGGACCAGGGGAGCGGCTCTGATGTTCTTTTTGAACTGCTCCACTTTCAAAAGGGGGCAATTTCGTTACATTCTCATTTGTTACACTGTCTTGAACTAAAGGCAGACAAAGCTATACTCTGTCACCCCGAGCAGAATGAAGGGAATCAAAGGATTTTCCCTTAAAAGGACTAATTTTCTCCTTGAATTATGAAAGTAATGGCTAGGTAACAGCCTGTGCTCTGTACCCAACTGCTTAATACCTTCTAAATCCTTCCACGTGGCTCTCCCAGTCGTAGCAATTAGAGCTCATTATAGGCTCATAAGAGCTCTCATTTCGGGGATTACTTAATGGACAATGAAATTTTATCGGACAGAATTATTGAAAAATAAAATTGTAACGAGGCCGATGTGATGTGGGCGCACGCCTTGCATCATTCCGCCTGGTTTGGGATGTCTTTGCTTTCAAATGACTTCTTTTCTTGCTCTGGCTTTCAGGGGTGGGTTTTTCCTAGTGATTTCTCTCTCTCTCTCTCCCTCTCTCTTTTATCACTGCGTTTGGTTTATTATAACAATTACAAATTGCAATTTTGATCCGACTCTTTCTCTGTCTGCCTTCCCTTAAGACAGCCCCCTCCCCAGATCCACTCTATCACTGCAGACAGCTTTTTCCACAGAGGTTTGGGGCTGTGCTATTATATTTTCATTTTCCAGAATAGCCTTTCCTAAAGGAAAACAAAAAGAAAAAATATTAAAAATTAACATTAAATGCAGATATTAGTTCAAATCTTCTCCAGATATACTTTGCTTTAAACTCGAAGAGCCTAACCAAAAAATGCCATGCTTGTGCACGGCGCCCGTGACTAGAATCCCACCGGAGCTCAGGGGGTAGAGCCCCTCCCGGGGATCCCCGCGGCCGCGGACCCCAGGGCCTCGGCGGTGGCGGGGGCTGCAGGGCCTGGCGGCTGCGGGGCCTCGGCTGAGCCCTGGCCAGCACTTTGGGGAAAAGTAGGTGAGGTTGGAGCCGACCCGCCTAAACCCCGCGAGCCCCTAATTGTTGTCACAAGACGCGGGATTAGCGCATTGCTGGAATAGCTGTCTGTTTACACTCAGGAGCCCCCGCCGGCCGGTAAACACTTTCTAATTGAATTCTAATCACATTCAAATAGCCACATAACAGACCTCAGCTGCAATTCATAAAACTTTAATTGCTATCCATAAATCCTCAGATCACCGAGCGCGGAGTGTCCCTAAAAACGCTGTTGCATCGTGCCTGCCCGGGGAGGTGCGGGGGGAAAGGGGAGCAGGGCTAGGGGACAGCCGGCCCCTGAACAGGGGAGCCTGCACAGCAGCACTGCCCGCGGCGGGATGGAGATGGGGATGGGGATGGGGATGAGAATAAGGAAAAGGACGGGACAGCGCAGCCGGTCGAGACCGGGCCCCTCTCCTAGCAAGGCTTGAGTTGCACCGTCGAGGGGTTCCAGGGGCGAGGAAATTCCGGCTCCATCAGAAGGCGGTTTTATTTTGCTGGGTTTAACAGTGGGACACTGGGTTTGCGGGAGGGATGGTAGGATGTCCGCGGCCCGCCCTGGCGCATGATAACCGCTTCTGAACACGTTTCGGCTACTGCTGCACTCTCGAGTTTCTGTTCAGCCTCTGGTAATCAGGCGTAGTCTGTGTTTTCTGCTTTAGAGCACAATTGTCACTTCCCTTTCCCGTGTCAAGTGGGATGGGATCGGCAGTGTGTTTTAAATGCCGCTTCACATCTGCTAAACAAGAACGCGATAGTCCTTCTATTAACGATAAGTCTCTTCTTAAACTCCCATAAAACAGGTCATTGGAAAATCGCTTAATATGCTGCGAATACCTTGGCTTTGTAATGCACTCTGAAATGCTTCGGAGCCACCGACCGTATTTAGCTGTTTATCCAATTTTACTTTGAATGATTGCTTCAGCAAACTTGGTGGAGATCAAAGAATCCCTCCCTGACATGTTCGCTTTTCATTAGCGCTGCGCACTGCGGTCCTGGAGAGTCCGGGGAAGTTCGTTTGGAAGTTTTCCGTTTTGATACCGTTTGCCTGAGAAGTGTCCAGATATTTGAAGGCTTTGTCCGTTGCAGTAATTGCCAATTTGGCAAGACTCACTTGAGATGAAAAGGGCGAGGAGACAAAAAAAAGCCACCCAACCCACCCTACGTGCATATGTATGCACAGACACAAAAACGCCCTCCATCCCTAACCTTATATCCATGGCTCCATCTGTGTACCTGGCTCCTCTGATGCAGAAAGGGCCTCCTGAAGGAGTCCTGAGTGCATGGAGTGGGCCGGGCTGGGGAAAGGTGTTGGCAACAGGTCTCTGTGGGATCCACGACCCTTTGGATGTTCTTTTACTGGGGGTGAGGGGGGCGGAGTTGAACCGCTTGTTTCAGGGCATTACCTGCTCTCACCTCTCTTTCCCTCCCGGCGAGGGAACGGAGCGTTCTCCTCTGGGAAAACCCCCGAGCAGAAACTCCTTCCGATTAATTTTATCCCCAGCATCCCGGGTGTGTTGACAGAGGGACATGCCTGCCAGCGCGACGTGTGACGGGGCTGCGAAGCAGCCGCCCCCTCCCCGCTTTCTCTGCTCCTATAATTTATTTGAGGCGGAGGCAAAGGAGTGAAGTCATCGGGCAACGAGCAAGCACGCACACTTTGCCCCCCTCCCCTGCCCCGCTTTGGTCCCCCCCGGCAGCCTCTCCTGCCGGCCTGGGAAGCCGGGGAGATTTAGATCTGCGAGGCTTTCAGCCATCACGTGTTTAAATACTTGATATAAAACCCCGGCGCAGGGGATCCAGGCGGGGGGACTTTAAGACCGGCCCTCTCCAGGGACCCTTTTGTTCAGCTCTCAAACATAAGCACCTTCTCGACTCGCCAGGACTTCAGTGGCAACTTGGCCGAGCAGGAAAACACGACTTTGGGAGAGCCGCCCCCGGCCTCGCAGCCCTCCGCAATGTCACGCTCCTTCTATGTCGACTCCTTAATCATCAAAGACTCCTCGAGGCCGGCTCCGTCCCTTCCTGAGCATCATCACGGCCAGGACTTCTTCATTCCTCTCAGCATGCCTTCCCCCCTCGTCATGTCGGTGTCGGGCCCGGGCTGCCCGTCCCGAAAGAGCGGCGCCTTCTGCGTCTGCCCGCTCTGTGTCACCTCGCACCTGCACTCCTCCCGCGGCGGCGGCGCCGGCGGGGCCATCCCTCTGCTCAAGAGCCAGTTCCCCACGGCCGCGGGCGAGGCCCAGTGCTGCCCGCGGAGCAGCCACGCTCACCACCCGCCGCAGCACCCGCCGCCCGCCGCCGCGGTGCCCGCCGCCGCCGCCGCCCTGGGACACCCTGCGCATCACCCACCTGCCTGCGCCGCCACCACCTACAGCGTCAGCGACCCCCGGAGGTTTCACTGCCTCGGCATGGGTAGGAGCCCTGCGGCCGCCGGGGAAGGGGGGCAGCGGGAGAAGGGGTGTCGCCAAGGGAGAGAGGCTGTCCCGGGTCGGAAAGCTGCTGGGAATGTCTTTTCTCTGTCTGTCTGTCTCTCTCTAGCCTCCCTCCCCTCCTTTTCCCTGTCCCGCTGAAGTTCGCATTTCTCTCCCGTCCAGGAGGGTCCGAATCCAGTCAAATTCAAAATGGGAAACGGATGAGGACTGCCTTTACTAGCACCCAGCTCTTGGAGCTGGAGAGGGAATTCTCCTCCAACATGTACCTGTCCCGGCTGCGGAGGATCGAGATAGCCACGTACCTGAACCTGTCTGAGAAGCAAGTGAAAATCTGGTTCCAGAACAGGAGGGTGAAGCACAAGAAAGAAGGCAAAGGCACCCAGCGAAACTCGCACGGGGGCTGCAAGTGCAGCACCAGCCAGGGGCACTACCCCCGGTCCGAGGATGAAGAGTCTCTATCCCCCTCATCGGCTACCGAGGATAAAGAGATCTCTCCGTTATGAGATCCTCCTGCCTCCGGGTCCCTCCTGCTCCGCTCCTGCCGCCGGCTCCGAGCCCGGAGCGAGGTGGCGGCACGGCGACTCACCTGGCACCGCTCCCCACGGACGGCAGCCCGCTAACCTGCAGCGGGCTGGACCTCGCCGCCGCGGAGGTTTAATTGTCATCCACTCACAGTAATAGAAATAGAAGTATATCTATATATATTTTTTCCGAATGCGAACGTTTTAGTCGTGGGAGGTCAACCTAAACGTTACTTATGTAACCCCAGGAGAGGGCACCTGCTCTTTCTAAAATGTAATATTGGGCAAGGCTCGCATAGCCCAGGGTGTCTTCCTCTGTATCCCCACAGGCAATTTAAAGGAAAAAAAGAAAAGTATTTGAAACAGAAAAGAAAGACATAAAAAAAAAGGAAAAAAAAGAAACAAAAACCATACCTGAAAAGCAAATTAAAACCTGTAGAGAACCTACTGAATGGACTTCTTAACAAAAATAAGAAAAGACATAACGATCGCCCGTTTGGGTTTGGGACGGCTGTTTGTCTGTGAATAGTTTTATATAAAAATTATATTTATATTTATTTAAATAAATGAAATCAGACGAAAATTTAACTTTTTTTTTTTTTTACCCTCCCCCCCCGACTTCCCCTTCCTCTGAAGTGCCAGCCCAGTTGCAGCAGCGAAGGTGCACTGGCTGGGCAAGGTGCTTTCCTTTGCAGTCCTTGTCCTTCGTACGGTGAAAGAATCGCTGTATATGTGTCAGATCTGCGTAAAGAGTGAAAATAAAAGCCATCGGCTACTAACACGAACATGTTTTCTGTTCCCCTGTGACTCGGGACGGCTGGGGGGCGGAGAAGGGGGGCACTCCGCTCCGGCCGGAATGCAAATACAGCCCGTCCTCCGACTCCAGCAGCCCTGCGCTCCTTCCCAGCCCGAGCCAGGGCACGCCCTCCTGGTGACTGACAGCCTTCTCCCGTCTGCCGGCCCGAAGGCACCGCGCTGGGGACAAGCGGCTGCCGCCGGCCCAGCGCTGCCGATGGCGGGGCCGGAGCGCAGGGCTGCGCGCCGGGACCCCGCACACAGCCCCCGGCCCGCCGGCCTGCGAGCTCCGGCTCTTCCCTCGCCGCGGTGGCTGGCTGCGCACGTCGACCCTTCACCAGGCTGAAACTCCGCTTATTATTTTACTAGTCGATGTTAAGCAGAGATCAGGGATTTTTTGTTTTCCCCTCACAGCGTTAGCTTTTTTGGGTGTTGATTTCATTAGGCGCCTTGACCAGGCTTAGGGAAAAGATTTGAGGGCAAACCCATTAGGCTGAGACATGGTTGAAGTTCTCTGCAATCTGCGTCGGGCAGCGCTCAGCCACGGGTCCCATCTTGCCTCTGCCTTTGGCAGCTCATCCTCAGCTCCTTGCAGCAGAGTTACAGGTGGCTGGTGAGAGTGGGATGGACCTGGAGGTAGTCAGTCCCAATGAGCCCCTTTACAACATTTTTCCTAGTTCCTGCAGTACTGGCAGACAACAAGTCTATATAAAGCTAACAATATAAGCAAAGCAGGAGTGCCTGTTGCACATTATGTTATTTCTCTCACCTTTTCCTTGGATGGATTTTCCACTTTTGATTCCAACCTCCGAAATAGTCCTTACAGTTATCATGTTTTATCCCTAACTTCAGAGCTTCAGCTCAGAGGTGCATCTCAATTTGACTTGCCCTGGCTGCTGAAGAGAGAGGCAGCCCCAGCACAGTGACACTCGCACTGCCTGCCTGTCTTGGAGGAGAAGCCAGGTGCATGGGTGGGGCTGGGGTAGGATGGAGAGAGCCTGGTATGGGCACTGCCCCACAGCCTGGACCAACTTCAGGGCTTGGGGCAGAGTCAGCACACCCACATCTTACAGGAAGGGAAGGACAGGACTGACGTTTCTGGCCTGGACTTGGAAAACAAATACAAAATCACTGCTCCATACCACGACCATTTCACTGCCTGAGCTGACTACAGAGGCCAGCAGCCCTCATGCCAGCTGAGTGGCTGGGGATGTTGGTTTCCCCAGTGGCAGTCCTCTCACTTGCCAGGCTGGGGAAACCAAAGAGCCAAAGGCTTGAAGTCTTTGTGGCTCCTTGCCAGGGGGACTTCATGGAGGGTGTGGCTGAGGGGATTGTCCCCTCTTCCCTAAAACCTGCTGAGGTGGAATCTGTTGATTGCTTCAGTTCACCTGTGTCTAACTTGCTTCTATAATCACAGTGGGTCTTTTCCAGCCTTGAAGCTCTGGGAGGAGGTGTTAGTTCCACAGAAAGTACTGCCCACCCTCTCAGCAATGTCATCCCATACTGTAACAGGAGGGAGTCAACAGGCCTGCAGCAGCCTGGGAAAGCAAAACTTTGCTGAGTGAGAAAAATCATCACAGTCTCTGGAATCTAAGACTGCAAAACTCAAAAGATATTTTACAATTGCAAAGATACACTTGATAGAGTGTATATGTTCTCAGTGTAAATCTGTGGAAATATGCACCTCAGTGAATAAATTGGTATTTCCCTCCATTTCTAGATGATAAACAGTGAGATTTCTCTTCATTACAGTATTTAGCAATTTCTTTTAAAAAATAGGAAAATGAAGTTAGTTGATCTTGTGGTAATCAATGCTTGCATGTGTCTTTCAAGGGTTGGGGGGTAATTGTGACATATTATCACCATCACCATCACCACATACAAACTGTCATTTGGACAGTTGAGACAATATTTCATTTTATTTCAAAGTAAATGTTTCATGTAAAAAACATTGGAAAAGAGGAATGATGTAATGGTTTGCCCCGACACATCTCAGAAGGTGAATACAACCAGCTCAACCTGAACCTGGCAGTCCAAGTCAGTGTGACAGAAGCACCACTGGCAGTTGAATGTACTGTAATTTGCAGGAGATGTTTTGTAGGGTTTCCACATCCAGCATTCAACATTTTGAAATTTAGACAAATTTACATTAAAATGTGTTGGGTTTTTTCTTCTGCCCCCCCCCCCCCCCTTCTTCCTTCTATCCTTTTTTTTTCCCTCCCACAAAGTGTGAAGAACAATTTTTTTCCCCTCACTCATCCAGTGCCTAAGACAGGCAGTGTTCAGCTCCTGATGGAGCCACTCCTGGCATAATTTGGTGGCAGAGGAGTTGCCTGTGTCCCGGGTGGATTTCAGGTATGGAACAGCTCCTAATGACCCTCTGGATCAGCTAGCCCCCCCCAGCAAGGGGAAGGTTGCACAACTAAAGCATGAGTGTTAGCACAAGAGATGTGAATCATGTTTGTGTGACTGACCCTCCTACTGAACTTCTGTAACCTGTTGCATTAGCATCCCTCCAGAAAAGCTTTCCAATTGGGATATTTATTTACTAACAGTAATTCTACTTAACTCTTTTCAATTAAAAAAAAAAATCAGAAGTAGAAAACATCCATCTTGAGGAGTTTCTCTGACCTTGGCCTTCACGACTGAAGTCAGACTCACGGCACTAACTTCTCTGGTTGTGGATCCCCTGGCTTAATCTGCTCCCATGTCCTGATCAGATGGGTTAGCCCACAGGCAGCATTGGCCATGGGCTGCTGGAACTTTGCAGTGCCGAAGACACCATGCTCCCTCGGCTGCTCTTTCCAGCCCTGAAGTCCCCACAGGTGCTGCTGAAGCCTTTCCCTGCTGTCTGAGCTCTTGCCACAATGTCTAGGCTCAGCATCTCACACTTCTACCCCAGCCTTGGGGAAGTGGAGGCCCTTGGTCAGCTCCTTGCTTCCACATGTGGTGTAGCTGTGACACAGTGGCAGGTACACTCCAGAGATTCCCCGACTGAAGGGCTCAGTGTTCTGGCCGGTGCACATCCTCCCTGGGGAATATGGAGCAGGCTGGGCCTCATCAGTCAAGTCCCAAGCACTTACAGAGAGGAAGGCTCACAGTGCCGGGATCTAGGCAAGGGAACTGTGGTGAAACTCTCCTTCCTCAGTACCTCCGGTCGGAGCTGGGGCAGAGAGGGGACAGTCTATCTAATCCCGCTGCAATTCGCCTCTAATTTATCCTAATTTCCTACTCCTGCCCCTCCCTCTGAGCTAACCCCCATGGGACACGGCCTCGGGTGCGGCTCCCCAGTGCCTCCCTCGGGCTCCCTTGCGGGCAGGGGCAGCCGAATCGGCGGCAGGGCTGCTCAGCTGCTGCCCGGGGCTCTTCTTCCCACTCTTGCACGCTTCAGTCGACGGTACAGCCGCGGGACGAGGCCACGGCCAGAAAGGATCACACGGGAGTTTCTCTGGTGCCCACAGGGATAAGATGGCCAGGAAAGGGCGAGTCCTATTATCACCGCTCCGGGACCCCGGCGAGCGTCCCGACACCAGTTCGAGGGACGTGGGCAGGGCGGGGAGCACTCCCATTCTGGATCCGGAGCCTAAAGATGACCTCATGCAGTCCTTCGGGAAAGAAACCCGGCCAAAAAACATTTTTTTCCCTTTTTTGGTAAGTTTTCGCGGCTGCTAGAAAAGCCTGTTAACTACGATAGCGGGAAGCGCACCCCGCAGCCTCTGAGCACCTCCGTCGTCTGAACCGGGTCTCGGTAGCGGCGAGAAATCCCGGGCAAGGTTGGCAGCCCAGGGCCGGGGGTCCTGGGTGGGACCCCGGCCCCCCGGCCCTGGGAAGGCGCCCTCGCCCCGCCGGGCCCCCGCCGGTGGCGGAACGCCGTGCGCCGGGCAGCTGCCGGGGAGTCCCGCATGACAGCGGAATAACAAACAGCCCGAACCCACTGTGCCACTCGGAAAACCTCGAGGCGTGTGTCCGCGCTGCAGCGCGCTCAGCCTCGCCGTGAAAGGGCCGATTTCACGCAGGGGCTGCTCCGCGCCCCTCTCCGCCCCCCTGCGCGCTTCCCAGCCGGCCCCGCTCAAGGCGATGAACCGGCCTCGGCCCCTCCACGCCTCCCCCTGCCCCGACCCCAGCCGGCGTCTCCGGGGGGATTTAAGCTGTTGGAAGCGAACCCAAAGAGATCGGAAGCGTGTGCT